TTTTTTTTTTTCTGAGTTGGGAGTCTCACTCTGTCACCCAGACTGGAGTGCAGTGGCCGCTCCCGGCCACCGCAGCCTCAACCTGCTGGGCTCCGGCGATCCTTCCGCCTCAGCTTTCCAAGTAGCCGGAATTACAGGCATGCGCTACCACGCCTGGCTGATTTTTTGATTTATTGTAGAGATGAGGTCTCGCCAAGTTACCCAGGCGGGTCTCGATGGGTAATTTTTTTTTTTAGTTGGAGTCTCACTCTGTTGCCCAGACTGGAGTGTAGTGGCACACTCCCGGCCACCCTCAGCCTTCCAAGTAGCTGGAGCTACAGGCACACGCTACCGCACCCGGCTAATTTTTGATTCATTGTAGAGACGAGGTCTCACCAGGTTGCTCAGGCTGGTCTCGAACCCTCAGGCTCAGGTAATCCACTCGCCTTGGCCCCCCAAAGTGCTGGGATTACAGGCTGAGACACTGAGCCTGACTGCCTAGCTGGTATTAAGTGGCAAAAAATGAGACTTTTAAGGCAGATGCTCCTCTCTAGCAAGAGGGTTCCAAGGCTTCCTAGAATGCATTTCAATGGGGAAGGGACCTTGGCCACCCCATATTGAGGGTTCCCCAGGAGGAGTTCTAAAGAGAAAAAGGGATTGTTCCTGAGAACAGGGTCAAGCACCTGGAAAGAGAAAAGCATCCATGTTCTCATTTGGCGTTCCAAAAGAGTGGAATCAGCCTGATTGTGTGAGTATTGAGTGAGAAAGGGTGTACCTTTGGTCCTCTGGACCCAACAGAGGCAGTCCTGCCTGGCAGCAAGGCTGCTTCTCCACCATGCTTGGAAGACTTGGTGCCAAGATTTCTGAGTGGGGGACCTGAAGCCCCCTAAACCTTTTGAGATCCAAGAAAGTAGCTTTTCAAGCTCTTTCTCAGACCTTAAAATGAAGAGAGAGGGTAATATATGGACTCACCAGTGATGAAATCTCATCTGGAGGGTCTGGCCAGGTCGGCTCACCAGGTGGGGTGGTGAAAGAGAGGTGGACAGAGAGAGAGCCAAGGAGAGTTCTGGCCAGATCCATCAGTTGCCTTCAAGTTACAGCACAGTCCACAGAGAGACTCGAGTTAGAAAGAAGAGAATGGGAGAGAGAGCATGGAGGAAACTCTACAGAGCTCCCCATCGGGCTACCACAATGTTAGGTTGGTGGGTCAGTGCCGATGCCACAGGTATGCAAAGAATTGCACAGAAATTCGATTGGAATTTATTTTAAAAGCAATTCAAAGAGAGAGAGAGAGGGTGGATCCACTTCTTGAGGGAGAGAGGGGACCAGGTGTCTGAAGGAAACATGGCGGTGAGTGCTTGAGACTGAATGCTTTTAAAGCCTCCTTTTGGTGGGGCAGGTTGCCTTGGTAATGGGGTGGTGATCCATTTTACATCATCACGAAGGGGACAGATAAGCACAGTAATTGTTGTCATGATGACAGGGTGGTGGCCTGTGTGGTGACGGTGAAGGCTGTGAAGAACCGATCACAATAGATTAGGTCAGCTTGGCCTCTTATGACAGGAAGATAAATACTTTGGATAAAAGGGTAGTTAGTACAAAGCATGCTTTGTTAGTCCAAAGACAATTATCAGTAACTACCTCTGGGCCCTTGTTAATGATTAGAGGGCAGGTTAAAACAAGCTGCTGACTAACTTACTCCATTTTGGCTTTTTGTCCTTTCACGTACCCTCACCTACTTCCCTTTCCATCCTCAGATTATTTTTAAGAAAATTCAGATATGTCACCTCATTACAGGTTTTGTTGTTGTTGTTGTTGTTGTTTGAGTCGAAGTCTCACTCTGTCGCCCAGGCTGGATTGCAGTGGCACACTCACGGCCACCGCAGCCTTGACCTGCTGGGCTCAGACGATCCTCCCGCCTCAGCCTTCCAAGTAGCTAGAACTACAGGTATCCACCACCACGCCCAGCTAATTTTTTGATTTATTGTAAAGATAAGGTCTCACCAAGTTGCCTAGGCTGGTCTCGAACCTGTTGGCTAGGCAACCCTCTCACCTCGGCCTCCCAAATTGCTGAGATTATAGGTGTGAGCCACTATGCCTGGTCCATTACAAGTATTTTATGACATATCTTTATAACATAGAAACTTTTACACAATCCTTTTTTGAATAATTTTTTTCCCAGAAATTGGAAAATTTAACAACAACAAAAATCCAGATCTCTGTATTCTGGATGATAATCATTGGTTAGAGCTGAGTAGATGTTGCCCCTTTAGATAAAGGGTGTGGTGTCTACTTTGCCACAGTTTCCACCACTCCCTATTATCTACCTAGCCACCTCACTCACACACATCATCTGCCTGGTTTCCTGTGAGCATTTCATTTTTGTAGGAAATTGACCTAAAGGAGATGTTAGGGAAGACATTAACAACTTGAAAAATGTGAGAATCAGTGAGAAGATAGAACTCTCCTCTAATGCAGGTTGCAGAACCACATTGGACGAAAGGCATTTTGGAAGTAAGCTTTGAAAGTTGGCCAGTACCAATCTGGGAATTTTGCTCTGAGAGACCAAGGTGGGGGGCAGAGGGCAGTGGAGAGACACCTACTATGTACCAGTATCTTCTACCATAGACATTTCTCACTAAATCATCAAACTGTCGTATGCCGTAAAGGGGATTGATTCCTATTTTACAGATGAGGAAACTGAGGCAAAGAGAGGTTACACAAGGTTTGCAAGGCCACTTAGGTAATACGTAGCAGAGCTGGGATTAGACTTGGAGGTTGCCTGACTCTGAAACCCATGCATATCTTCCCTTGACTCATTGCTCCTTTCGAGACAACTGGGAAAGAGAATTGGCAAAGTGCCAGTGATGGAACCTGGGATGAGCACAGGCCCCAAGCTAGGGCTTTGGAGGCTGCTGACGGGAGTGGGGAGCCCAGGAGCAGAAGTGGAGGAGGGGGCTGTCCCGTGGCTGCAGAGGCTTCCTGGAAGAGGCTTTGCTGGAGGTGGCCAGGAGGGCAAAGGCCATGGCAGCCACTGTGAGATGGTGGGGAGAGGGAGGTACGCCTTCTTCTTGGTCCTCTCAGGGGAGTGGAAAATTTACTCTCCAGATCCTTGGTGGGTTGTGACTCCTGAGACCTCAGTCAGGGCCCTGGGACCCTTGCTGGGACCTTGGCCTGGGGTCCAGCAGCCCCCATCGCTACCCTAGTTCCTTACCAGTCGGGCCGTGGGAAAGCTGCCTCCTTCCTGGATGGCCTTCCTCCTGGTGTGTCCTTTGACACTGCTTTCACTTCCTCTCCGACTCTGCTCATGTGGGATCAACTCTCTGTCACGTCCTCTCAGCATCAGGCCATCTCCTTGCCACAGACTTAGAATGTATGAGTAACCAACTGGATTTGTGCCTGCCCCTGCACAGGACCCGAAGACCCGTGAGGCTGAGACTCCATCTGTCCTGGTCACCCTCTGAGGGCCCCTAGCATGGCGCTGTCCTGCCTGGGTCTGATAATGGTTAGCGCTGGAGGGGAGCCCATGGGAGTCTGGCTCCCTGACTCAAGGCCTCCACACCTTCTCCTCGCAGGTCATCCCCTTTTGTGGGGCAATCCAAGGGGGTCTCCAGGATGGACTTCAGATCACTGTCAGCGGGATCGTGATTAACTCCAGGGAGAACAGGTGTGTATTGGATAGAATCGTTGTTTCTGCTTGGTCTCGTTCCTTGGGAAACCACTGTGCCTGTGAGCTCAGGTCAGTTCAGCCAACAGCCTCCAAGCTCGCCCACCTGGCTCAGGGAAGGCCAAATGTGCCCTTGTCCATAGCACAGGGCACCACCCTACGGGTGCCACCCACATTCTGGGGCACCATCAATGTAGACTCCAGGACAAATGGGGCCCCTGGGGCTCCCTGCCCTAGGGAAGTAAGATGACCCAGAGACAGATAATTATGTTCTAAGGTTGAACTTTGCACATTATGACTCAGATGTTGCAAAAACAGAACTTCCTTTATTGTCCGTAAACTTCTCTCACCTACTTTGAACCTCTGAAGTGAAAATACTTGAAGTTGCCATAAAAAATAATTTGATCTCTTTGGGTTTTAAGGCCTTTTCTGGAAAACATGAAGTCAATTCAAAACACCTTCTCGGTGCCATGTCCCACCCCACCCCAGGTGGGCTGTCTGGGAACAGGGAGGGCCTCATGTGGGCCTGATTGACTTCTGCCCAGGCAGCCCATCTTGGGGCCTCTCACCTGGGATGGCTGGGGACCATGTGGTGGCTGCCTGCTGAAGCCCACAGTGCCCACAGAGGCCCCTCTGGAATCACTTCTCTCTCGGAAGCCTCCGTCTCAGTCCTAGGGGTCCTCTCCTCGAGACCCGGGTCCCCTTCATACACTCTCAGATCCCCGATCAACCTCAGCTCAGCCTTCCCTCCATCACTGCCACCCTGCCAGGGCAGGCATGGCCACAGCAACTGTGGGACTGACCGAGAGCCCTGCCATGCCCCTGGGAGATGCTCAGAAGGTAATGAGGCACCTGATCCCTCCCTCCATCGGGGGAACCCAGGATCTCGTCTCTGGACCTCTACCCTTTTCTCTCTCAAGAAGACAGAAAGTGGGAGGCCCATCCTATAGCTCTGTGTATTTGTTACAGAGACCAGCTGGTCTCAAACCGTGGGCTCAGGACCACATGCACACTGAGTTCAGGGAAGGCTGGTGTAGACAGAAATGCCTCAGAGAACCTTGGACTTGAACTTCCCGTAGGATGCAAGCAATGCAAGGATGGAATTCATGTCTGGGAAAAGGCAGAACAGACATTGACTGAGCCCTTCTGTGAACCTGTCTCCTCGAAAGGTTTTTTTGGTTTTAATTCCTCATTTTTGTGGCACAGCTATACCCACAAGAAGTTTTGACAGTGTCTCTCCTCTGAGGAAAGATAGCCAGGAATATTTACCTGCATGAGGTCTTCCTCAGCACTGCCTCCCTTCATCACCCCCAGAGAATGCCACCCCCTTTCCTGGATGTGGCCACGGAGGCTGGTGTGGTCTGGGGATCATCCCAGATGGCAAGCAGCACAGAGTGGAGTGTGAGTCCAGGCTAGCCTGACTTTGGGGCCACCACTCCCATATCGCATGTGTTCCCCCAAACACACGCCAACATCCCATGAGGGACAGCCGCACCTTGAGAAAGCTTTCTTTCTTTCTTTCTTTTTTTTTTTTTTTGAGTTGAAGTCTCACTGTCGCCCAGGCCACTCACAGCCACCAAAGCCTCGACCTGCTAGGCTCAGGCGATTCTTCCGCTTCAGCCTTCCAAATAACTGGAACCTTAGGCACGTGCCACCAAGTCCGGCTAATTTTTTTATTTATTGTAGAGATAAGGTCTCTCCAAGTTGCCCAGGCTGGTCTCAAACCGCGGGCTCAGGCAATCTTCTTATCTCGGTCTCCCAAAGTGCTGGGATTATAGGTATGAGCCACTGTGCCCAGCCCGAGAAAGCTTTCATGCCTACAGAGCTATGATCTGTTCTACACCTCTTTTATTTCACACGCTCTTTAAATCTGTTCCCTTTTTTCTCTCTCAGGTATGTGCTGACCTCCAGCAAGTATCCACTTGCTGCTAAAGGCTTTTTCTTCTTCTAGATGTGCTTAATGACTTCCATCTTTGATACCAATTTGTAATTTGTTTCCAAACTTATGTTTCTTGTTGCCAGTACCAGCACTTCTCCTTACTCACTGTATTTATTTATTTCCTTATTTATGAGACAGAGTCTAACTGTGTTACCCAGACTGCGGTGCAGTGGCTCCATCCTAATTCACTATAACCTCAAACTCCTGGACCCAAGCAATCCTCCCACCTCAGCCTCCTGAGTAGCTGGGACTATAGGCATGTGCCATCATGCCCCGCTAATTTTTTTTTTCCTTAGAAACAGCATCTTGCTATCTTGCCTAGGCTGCTCCTTGGCCTCCAAAAGTGCTGGGATTACAGGAGTGAGCTACCATGTTTGGCCTCCTTATTCATTTTCTACTTACTTTAGAAAATCACGCTGTGAGGGCAAAATGCAATAATTGCACAAAGACAAATTAGTCTAAATTAGATGGAAAAAAGGATGCCAACAAAGTAGTCTCTGCCACGCAGGTTCTATGCAGATTCCCAGACAAACACACAGCAGAGGTACCAAGATCCTCCTGTTCCCAACATTGGCAATAAAGGTCTGACAATTAAGTTCACAAACTCATGCTAGAAAAAGTGCCACCTCCTCATTGCTGAATATCACTATGGTCACCTTCGAAGTACTCCCCTTGGGAAGCTATGCACTGACACCAGCACCTAGTCCACTTGTCAAAGCAATTTTGGGACTCTTTTTCTGGAATGGCCATCAGAGCTGTTGTCCCGAGAATGTCAGCGTTTGAATTACAGCAACAAACAGACATCAAATTTCTTGTTAAACTTGGCAAGAGTGGAAGTAAAATCAGGGACCTGTTAGTTCAAGTTTATGGGGATAATGTCATGAAGAAAATGGCAGTGTACAAATTGGATTAAACCATTTTTCTGAGGGGAGAGAAAGTGTCACTGTTGAAGAGAGTTCAGGATGACCAGTAAGAATCAGAACTGAGCCGGGTTCGGTGGCCCAGCCTGTCATCCCGCACTTTGGGAGGCTGAGGTGAGTGGATTGCCTGAGCCCGCGGGTTCGAGACCCGCCTGGGTAACTTGGCGAGACCTCATCTCTACAATAAATCAAAATGAGTCGGGTGTGGTAGTGTGCACCTGTAGTTCCAGCTACTCGGAAGGCTGAGGCAGAAGGATTGCTGGAGCCCAGCAGGTCGAGGCTGCGGTGGCCGGGAGCGGCTCCTGCACTCCAGTCTGGGCAACAGAGTGAGACTCCAACTCAAAAAAAAGAATCAGAACTGACAAAAACATTGCAAAAATTCACTGAATTGTGCGTCAAAATTGTCAGCTGACTGTGAGAAGCATGGCAGAGCAAATGAACATCGACAGAGAAATAGGAAAATATATATATATATTTTTTGAGTTGGAGTTTCACTCTGTCACCCAGACTGGAGGGCACTGGCACTTTCCCAGCCACTGCAGCCTCGACCTGATGGGCTCAAGCGATCCTTCAGCCTCAGCCTTCCAAGTAGCTGGAACTACAAGCACGTGCCACCATGCCTGGCTAATTTTTTTTTTCTGTTTTAATTGTAGAGATGAGGTCTCACCAAGTTGCCTAGGCTGGTCTTAAACCAGAGGACTCAGGCAATCCTCTCACCTCGGCCTCCCAAAGTGCTGGGATTATAGGCATGAGCCATCGCGCCTAGCCCGAGAAATAGGAAAATCTTAACTGAAAATCCTGGCATAAGAAAAGTGTGATGCCGGGCTCGGTGGTTCAGCCTGTAATCCCGTGCCTTTGGGAGGCTGAGGTGAGTGGATTGCCTGAGCCCGTGGGTTCGAGACCCACCTGGGCAGCGAGACCTCATCTCTACAATAAATAAATTAAAAAAATCAGCCAGGAGTGGTAGCGCATGCCTGTAATTCTGGCTACTCGGAAGGCTGAGGCGGAAGGATTGCCAGAGCCCAGCAGGTCGAGGCTGCGGTGACCGGGAGTGGCCACTGCACTCCAGTCTGGGCGAGAGTGAGACTCCAACTCAAAAAAAAAAAAAAGTGTGTGCAAAAATGGTCCTGAAAGAGCTCTTACACAACTATGCATTGGCTCACATAGCACTATCTGTGAGGGAGTTTTTATCCAGTAAACAAATAACTGTATTAGAACACCCTCCCTACTCACCTGATCTGGCCCCCAGTAGCTTTTTTCTTTACCCGAAGGTAAAGGAAATATTGAAAGAAAGACATTTTGATGACATTCAGGACATCAAGGGTAATGCAACAACAGCTCTGATGGCCACTCCAGAAAACGAGTTCCAAAATTTTTTGCTCTGACGGGTGGACTAGGTGCTGGCATCGGTGCATAGCTTCCCAAGGGGAGTACTTCAAAGGTGACAGTAGTGATATTCAGCAGTGAGGTATGTAGCCCCTTTTCTAGTATGAGTTCACAGACTTAATTGTCACACTTCGTAAGTCAGGCTTCAGAAGACTCTGCTTTCCCTTGGCCTAGGTTTGCTGTGGACTTGCAGACCGGCTTCAGTGGAAATGACATCGCCTTCCACTTCAACCCTCGGTTTGAAGGTCAAGGGTACGTGGTCTGCAACACGAGGCAGAAAGGCTCCTGGGGAACTGAGGAGAGGAAGACGATGATGCCCTTCCAGAAGGGAATGCCCTTTGAGATCAACTTCCTGGTGGCGAGCTCGGAATTCAAGGTGAGCAGGAGTCCCCTCCCACCTCCACTCCCGGTTCTTGAAGTAAGAACCCGCCAGAGCAACACCACTGAGTAGATAACACGACCACTTCCTTGTGAGGGTGTTACTGATGGCTTCTAGTCTCCTTACACTCCTTTGCCTGGATTTACAGGCACACGTGTTGCTTTTTTTATTCTGAAAGTAATAACTGGATAAGCCAGTGTGTTGCTTTTTGGCACTGTGTTTCTTCAAAGTTATTCCATGCCTCTGCTATGGCCATTCCTCTACCACCAGGTCCCTGGGAACAGCTTTTCTCAGTAATGTTTTCCAGTCTTTATCCAGGTTCCATGAATGGTGTGGTTTTCTGAGCCTGTTGCTAGTTACCCTCACAAGCAGAGGAGTATCTCTGGGTTTGGGGAGCCAGGTGGGTGGTTACATCCATGGCTGCTTGTCCTGAACATGGATGTTCTCCTCCACTTGGTGTGTATCACAAGGTGGCCTCTCCTTTGCCCCCCGTGAGTACTTGTATGCATATTTAACTAATAATCTGGGCGAGCTATAATTAGAGAGGCAGACCTTCTACAGTAGACAGCTGTAAGGACTAGAAGCCAACTAGAGCCAAGTCGAGATTTGGGTCGATGCACTTTGGCTCAGTGCAGCACTGAAGGTCGACGCCCCCAACCCAGGAGGGGGACAAATGTGAAGTCCAGACTCAGGTCTTCATTTCTAGAAGCAGGGATCCAGGAGCTCAAGTGTGCTTCCCACCCTGGCCTGGGACTCCTCCCTGGAATACCTTCTCTCTTGTGGCAGGTGATGGTGAACGGGGCCCTTTTTGTGCAGTATCAACACCGTGTACCCTTTCACCGCGTGGACACCATCGCCGTCACCGGCTCTGTGCAGCTGTCCCACATCAGCTTCCAGGTCAGAGCGTCCACCTGGCACTGGTACCAGGGGCTGGGTGCAGGGCCCTGCCTAGGCCTTGCTGGATGGGCCCAGGGTACTGGCCAACCTCCTATCCAGGTGACACTGCGGACATACCTCTGGTCACCTGTCCCAGTGTCTGCTGCCCCTTCTCCTCTGTCATCCTCCTCTTCTGTGTGACTGTCTCTGTTTGGAACACCAGTCTCCATCTCCCAGACTCCTCGGTCACTCTTTTCTCTGTCTCTCTCTATTTCTACCCTGGTGAGGAGGCTGTGTGATTCCAGAAAGAGCAAGTTCAAATGCTCAGCTCTGCCATCCTCTTAGCCTGCAGGAGCTTAGATGAGTGACCGTTCCTCTCCCAGTCCTAGTTTTCTCATCAGTGGAATGAGCATGGTCATTGCCACCTCATGAGTAGCTGTGTGGTTCAATAGGATGACAGATGCCAGAGGTCACAAAATGGCCCTTCTGTTTGACCCTCTCTGTATTTTAAAATTTTTTGGCCGGGCTCGGTGGCTCAGCCTGTAATCCCGCGCCTTTGGGAGGCTGAGGTGAGTGGATTGCCTGAGCCCGCGGGTTCGAGACCCGCCTGAGCAGCGAGACCTCATCTTTACAATAAATAAAAAAAAAATCAGCCGGGCATGGTAGCGCATGCCTGTAATTCCGGCTACTCGGAAGGCTGAGGCAGAAGGATCGCCGGAGCCCATCAGGTCGAGGCTGCGGTGGCCGGGAGCGGCCACTGCATTCCAGTCTGGGCGATAGAGTGAGACTCCGACTCAAAAAAAAAAAAAAAAATTTTTTTAATGTGTTACCAACATCTGAGAGGTTAGAAAAGCCAGGAGTGATGATGTACACCTGTGGTCCCAGCTACTTGGCAGGCGGAGACAGGAGAATCACTTGAGCCTAGAAGTTCAAGTCCAGCCTGGGCAACATAGTAAGACCTCAGCTCTAGCCGGGCTCCGGTGGCTCAGCCTGTAATCCCGCGCTTTGGGAGGCTGAGGTGAGTGGATTGCCTGAGCCCGTGGGTTCGAGACCCGCCCGGGCAACTTGGCGAGACCTCATTTCTACAATAAATCAAAAATTAGCTGGGCGTGGTAGCGCGATCCTGTAGTTCCAGCTATTTGGAAGGCTGAGGCGGAAGGATCGCCAGAGCCCAGCAGGTCGAGGCTGCGGTGGCCGGGAGCAGCCACTGCACTCCAGTCTGGGTGACAGAGTGAGACTCCAACTCAAAAAAAAAAAAAAAAAAGAAAAGAAAAGAAAAGTGAAAAATCTAGCCAGGCTTGGTGGCTCAGCCTGTAATCCCAGCGCTTTGGGAGGCTGAGGTGGGTGGATTGCCTGAGCCTGAGGGTTCGAGACCTGCCTGGGCAACTTGGCGAGACCTCATCTCTACAATAAATAAAAAAATCAGCCGGGTGTGGTAGCGCGTGCCTGTAGTTCCGGCTACTCGGAAGGCTGAGGTGGAAGGATTGCCGGAGCCCAGCAGGTCGAGGCTGCGGTGGCCGGGAGCGGCCCCTGCACTCCAGTCTGGGCGACAGAGTGAGACTCCAACTCAAAAAAAAAAAAAAAAAAAAGATGAACAAAACACACAGTAGGTCCTCAACAGCTCTGAGTTCCTCGCCTGGGCCTTCATTTCTCACACTCCTTTGTTCCGACTCTGGAGGAGGGGGAGAGAGATGAGGGAGACCGCCCACCTGCTGCTGCTCTCTGGCCTGGCCCTTTCCTCTCCCGCCCGGCCCCTACGCCCCACCTGCCTGGCTCTCTCCCTCTTGTGCCTGCCCTGGCCTTTCCATTCTCCCTCGGCTCCATCAATGCTTCTCTTCACCCCCTGGTGCTTTTTGTTTTAACAGAACACCCGCACAGTCCTCGTGCAGCCTACCTTCTCTGCAGTGCAATATTCCCTGCCACCCAGGCCCAAGGGGCGCCGACCGAAAGTGAGTTAAACACAGAGGCCCCAGGAGGTTGAGTCGTAGCAGGAAGGACAGAGGGTTCGAGAGGCTGGCTTCAGCCAGCAGGCCAGCCAGGGCCGACAGGCCCCACCCTGCCCACCCGGGAGCTCCTTGTCTCCACCTGCCAGGCACCCGGAGCCAGGGACCTGGGAGTCATCCCGGATCTCCCTGTCCCCTTCATCATGCCTCTCCAATGCACCGACGTGTCTCCCTCCTTGAAACCCTTGCCTTGGTGCAGGACGCTGCCATTCCTCGCCATGACAGCAGTGATCTAGTTCCCACCTGCTCTCATAGCCACTCCCGCCACAGTGATCTTACAAATACATCTGATCATATTCTCTCCTGCCTGAAAATCTTCAAAACCCCAAGCCCTTCTAAATAAAGCCCAATTCCCCAGCAGAACCCACACATTCCCTCTCAGTCTGGGTCCAACCCACCTCCTGGCCTCCCCCGACCCATGACACTCACGCAGCCTCTGCTACTCACCTGAGAGGCCCTCTCAAGCCACCACGTTTTTGCATCTGCCTTCCCCAGTGCTCAAAGCACCCTTTGCCAACCTCGCCCCCAGCAGACACCTAGTTGCCCTTCAGTGCCCTGCTTAGACCTCGCTCCTCTGGACACAATCTCTGGACCCAGAAGATTGTTGGATGCTCCCCTCTGTGTCCCATGGACTCTGTACACATCTGTGCCATGCCAGTCCCCAACCCCTTGTAACCATGCTTATGTGTCTGTCTCCGTCACTCTACTCCCATGATCTCCATGCCCATGAGCCCCTGGAGGGCTGGGACTGTGGCTTGTTCATTTGCAAGTGCCTGGCACTCAGGAGGGACCCAGTGGATAGATGTGGAATATAGTCTGCGCAGTCAGGTAGAATGGGATGCCAGCCGGGGCAAGGCCAGTCTACCGGGCGGGATGGCATCTAGGACAAGAAGATGGGAAGCCCTTCCTTGGCCACTTGGGCAGTGGGGGCAGGGTGGGATCCTCTGTCCACCCAGCCTCCCTATGGTCCATCGTGGTAACACAGGGCTTCTGCTCTTGCCATGGCTGAGCTCCAGCACGGCCCTGGGGAGAACAGGGGGCAGCGGATCCGATCAGACAGAACTGGATGCCATCTTGATTTTATCCCTTTTACCTGGGTGAGCTTGGACACACTCCTCAAACTTCCTGAGCCTCATTCCCTCACCAGGGGAACAGGCACTAGGGATGCGTCCCTCGCTGGAAAGCCCAGAGCTTGGCCTGTGATAGACCTCTAGTAAATGCTCGTTCTTACCTTGTGGGTGAAACACAGCCCTGGCTGTAATGCTCCTGGCTCTTGGAGCTAAGGGAAGCAATGTGTTCTCCCTTCTCTCAGAAGGAGCCAGTGGGGCTCCCTCCCTCCAGAATCGAGTCCTTGTGTGTCTAGGAGTGAAAATCTGGGTGCCACGGGCTGAGGAAGGCTTGCTTGGAAGCAAGAGGGAGGTGGGTCTGGGGAGACATTTCTGAGCGCAAGGCCTGCGCTGGAGGCCTGCTGTGGCCTCTCACCCTTGTGTGGTGCTAACCGTGACCACCAGTTTGATTCTTCTCACCCCTTCCAGTCTCCAGGCATGTGGTCTGCCAACCTGGCTCCCATGGTAAGTCTCTTTCTTTCCTTTTGGCCCCTCTTCATCTGGGTTCTTCCTGAGGGCTAAGAGGAAGAGGCAGGGTGGGTACCGTACCTCTCCCATCGGGAATGTGGGTGGCAGAGGCCAGTCCCCTTGACCATTGACTGGGCCCTGGTGATGCTGGTGGGTGGACGTGGTTGGCTGTCTCTGCCCAAAAGGAAGCAATCTGAACTGCCCCTTGTTTACTCAAGTTTCTGCCACTCTGTGGGCAGCCACAAAAGACTGTGGCCCCACACTCACTCCTTCCTCCTCCAAAATGAGGCCAGGCAGAGAGAAATTTCCCTGAGAAGAAAGATGGGCCAGAGCCACAGTGCAGCCATCTTTCTTCTCCAGGACTCCAACTTTGCCCTTCCCTCATCCACTACAGAGAAGGAACACCCTACCCACCCATTATGGGGGGCTGGAGCCATGGCTCTATTTACAGCAGGAGGTTGACTCACCTCAGGGTGCATGTTCCTTGGCGCCCTCTGGTGGCAGGTGTTGGCCTTCACACAGGTGAGAGTGGGTTAAGACCTGGTTTCCTTCTTCCAGACTCCGAGGATGGTGCACACGGCCTACGGCGCCCCTGGACAGATGTTCCTGGTAAGCCTAAACATTCTGATCAGCTCACAGCCACACAGTGTCCTCCTTCCCCAAGAATGGAGATCCCTAGAGTCCTAGGATTGGGAAGAAAGCAGTTTAGAAAGGAGGGAGGGGTCATTTGGGGGTGGGCCTTCTGCTCAAAAGACATGTGAGACAGCACATGTCTTCTGAGCAGAAGGCCCATCCCCAAATGACCCCCCCCCGGGACAACAGTGATTCTGAAGCAGCCTGGATCTGTCCAGTGGCCAAAGAGACAGGTCCCCTAGAGGCCAGCAGGAAGTCCGGCCCTTCTATTGCCAAGAGGGGGAGCAGCAGTCCCAGCATCCGGATAGGAGGCGCCCCGCCTCCTGAGCCCCTGGGGAGTCACTACTGATCACAGACTCAAGCTCTTGTTCCGCTAGTGTCGATCGGGTGGGAGGCCTGAAGTTGGTGAGGTGCCCGTGGAGGGTGGAGGGGCAGGTGACCGAGGTGGGGTCCGGAAACAGAGCGGGATGTTCCAGAAAGTCCTGTGTGAGGAGGAAGGTAGATGAGAGCATCCAAGGACTGAAGCCTCACAACCTCAGCCTTACATTGGAAACCAAATGTCTAGAATCTTGTAGAACGTGTGGGTGCCTGGGTGTGCCCCTGTGTGTGTGCCCGGGCACAGCGCCCTCCTTCACCGAGTGTCCTCATCTCTCTTCCACAGAATCCTACCATCCCTCCTATGGTGTATCCTAATGTAACCTACGTGAGTGGCTTCTCAGGAAAGGGCAGAGGTTTATTCGTGTTGGGCAGGGTAGGAGGGTGTGGGGCTACCTGGGTGGATCCTCCAGCTTTGCAAAATTAAATTAAGGACCAGCAGTCCTCTGGTAAGTTGAGGTTCTTGAAGACATCCAAGGACATGAGAAGACTGTGGAAAGAGCTTTTCGCTTCAGACCAAGTGTGGTAGTTCACGCCTGTGAACCCAGCACTTTGGAAGGCTGAGGTGAGAGGATTGCTTGAGCCCAAGAGTTCGAGACCAGCCTGGGCAACATAGCGAGACCCTGTCTTTACAAAAAAATGTTTAAAGTTAGCTGGGTGTAGTTGCATGTGCCTGCAATCCCAGCTACTTGGGAGGCTGAAGCAAGAGAATCGCCTGAGCCCAGGCGATCGAGGCTGCAGTGAGCTGTGACGGTGCCACTGCACTCCAGCCTGGGCAACAGAGTGAGACCCTGGACTTAAAACATACAAACAAGCCGGGCTCGGTGGCTCAGTCTGTAATCCCAGCGCTTTGGGAGGCTGAGGTGAGTGGATGGCCTGAGCCCGCGGGTTCGAGACCCGCCTGGGCAACTTGGCGAGACCTCATCTCTACAATAAGTCAAAAAATTAGCCGGGTGTGGTAGTGCGCGCCTGTAGTTACAGCTGCTTGGAAGGCTGAGGCGGAAGGATCACCGGAGCCCAGCAGGTCGAGGCTGCGGTGGCCGGGAGCGGCCACTGCACTCCAGTCTGGGCGACAGAGTGAGACTCCAACTCAAAAAAAACCAACGAACAAACAAACAAACAAAAAACCTGTTGCTTCGATGTGAGCACATTGTATGGCCTTCCCTCCTCATTCCAAGGATCCTTTTGTGTTTGGCTAGTTACTTGCATGACAGTTTAAGCCCATTCATTTGAGGAACACTGGCGTCTCCCTTTGGCATTTACTGAACCAAGTAAAAGTAGCGCAGGGTTCTTTCTCAGCTGGCATCCACATTCGTGGAAACTGGTGCGAAGTTCTCCTTCCACAGTAGGTGGCAGCTGTTCTGGCTGCCACTGGCTAACTTGCCCCCCTCTCCTGACAGCGAATGCCCTTCTTCACCACCATCCCCGGTGGGCTGTACCCATCCAAGTCCATCCTCGTGTCTGGCACTGTCCTGCCTCATGCTCGGAGGTAGGTCAAGGGCCCCAGGGCTCTCCAGAAGGAGAGACCCTCCAGATCATTCTGGCCATCTCCTGACTCCAGGCAGGCTGGGGACGATGGGGAGGAGCTGGGGCCTGGGGCTCCATGGGTGGAGGTCCAGGCGAACTGTCTCCCCCCAGGTTCCATATCAACCTGCGCTCTGGGAGTGACATCGCCTTCCACCTGAACCCCCGTTTCGATGAGAACTCTGTGATCCGCAACACCCAGGTCAACAACTCTTGGGGGCCAGAAGAGCGAAGCCTGTCCAAGAAAATGCCCTTCACCCAAGGCCAGAGCTTCTTGGTAAGGTGCCCCCATCTGGAGTGCCGAGAGGATTTGGGGGGACACAAGGAGAAGGCACAGAGGAGATCTGGGAGTACCTTGAGCAGGATGGGAGCTGTTGACTCTGGAGTTGGGCCCAGAGGAAGAGAATAAGTGGTCAATGCATTATTATTATTATTATTATTTTGTTTGTTTGTTTTTGTTTTTTTGAGTTGGAGTCTCACTCTGTCGCCCAGACTGGAGTGCAGTGGCCGCTCCCAGCCACCGCAGCCTCGACCTGCTGGGCTCCGGCGATCCTTCCGCCTCAGCCTTTCAAGTAGCTGGAACTACAGGCGCACGCTACCATGCCCGGCTAATTTTTTGATTTATTGTAGAGATGAGGCCTCACCAGGTTGCCCAGGCGGGTCTCGAACCCGCAGGCTCAGGCAATCCACTCACCTCCGACAAGAAAACAAACTCAAGCGCAGGCTACTCGCCTGGGGTCATACAGCCAATAAGACCCAAGAGCGAATGGGGTCATTTATTCACTTATTCGTTCAACAACCATTTATCAACTATTTTATTGAGACCTGCTTTGGGCAGGAAGCCCCCCACACACTGGGGGTGCAGTGGGGAAGTGAGCAAACAGGGTCCTGTCCTCAGGGAGGCTATACTCTCTGTGGGGAAGGAACAGAAACAAAGGCACGAACAGATTGCTGCAGAAATGACAGTTGCCATGCAGAAAGCAGAACAGAACAGGCGAACCCAGCAGGGTACAGCCAGCCAGTGTGCAAAGGCACAGGCATGGGCTGTCCAGGGGCAGTGAGGCCAGGGCCTGTGGGTTAGAGGAAGGACCAGAGAGGCATAGGGTGCAGCTGGAGCCCAGGATCACACAGAAGGTGTGCCCTGCCCTGACCACCCATTCAAATCACTTAGAGAGCTTAGGAAAGAAAACTTGATGCCCGGGCCCACCCTAGACCACAGAGACAGTCCGCCTGGCCATCCATATTTTAAAGCCAGGTCTTCTGTGATTACACTCTGCAATCAGGGTTGAAAATGACTGATGTAGGCCAAGCGTGGTGGCTCAAGTCTATAATACCAGCACTTTGGGAAGCCAAGGCGAGAGGATTACCTGAGCCCACAGGCTCAAGACCAGCCTGGGCAACATGGTGAGACCTCATCTCTACAATAAATACATTTTTAAAAAATTAGCTGGACGTGGTAGTGCATGTCTGTAGTTCCTGCTACTTGAAAGACTGAGGCAGAAGGATCGCCAGAACCAAGCAGGTTAACACTGGGGTGGCTGTGAGCATGCCACTACACTCTAGCCTGGGAGACATAGTGAGACTCCAACAAAAGAACGAAAGAAAGAAAGAAAGAGAGAGAGAGAGAGAAAGAAAATGACCAATGTAGAACTTCGTGGCCCTGGAAAGGAGGTTAGGTTTTCAGCAGTGAAAAGCCACTGGAGCCAGGGAGCAACATACTTTGATTTCTAGATAGCTGTGTGACCTTGGGCAAGTGACTCACCTACTCTGCACTTCAGTTTACTCATCTGCAAAGTGGGGCTATTAATAATAGGGATGTCATAGAGTTGTAGACATGGAACGAATGGGGTCGTGTCTGTAATGTACTCAGGACGGTGCCCGTGCACAGCATTAGCTATTGCGATGGAGAGGGTGACGTTTTAACACGTGTGCCCCAACTGCCTCTTGGAGAAGGGCTTGGTGTGGGAAAGACAAGCTAGGAGGCGGCTGCTGCAGGAGCCCGGGCACGGAGCACTCCGGTGTGCTGGGTACCAGGGAGATGATGACACAGGCCCCCACCCTGTCCCTAGTGGCTCAGTGTCCAGTTGGGTGAAGATGGGCATGAGGAACACGGTCTGAGGGGGCAGCTGGCTTGACCAGGAGGGGTCAGGAGGTGGGGAAGGTGTGCAGGGTGGGAAGCACAGGTGAAACAGCATTCCAGGCAGGGGAGCAGCATATGTTTGTGTCCAGGGGAACACACAAGGCGTGTTTAGTGAAGGGCGAGTCACTCAGGGGTCAGAGGGTAGGTGTGGGGCTTATTCACATCAGAGGGAGGTGAGAGGGAGGGAGGAGGAAGACATGGCCTCCATTTAGGGGAGGTTCCAGAGGATGCCTCTGTGCCCAGGTATGGATCCTGTGTGAAGGCCACTGCTTCAAGGTGGCTGTGGACGGTCAGCATCTGCTTGACTACTGCCACCGCTTGAAGACACTGCCCACCATCAACAACCTGGAAGTGGGGGGTGACGTCCAGCTGACCCACGTGCAGACCTAGGCCGGTGCCCTGGCCCGGGGAGGAGGGCTGGAGAGTGTTGCTGTCCTCTCTGCTTCCCAGCCCTGGCCCCGGCCTTCCCCCCTGCCTAGGACCTGGGCTTCTCTGCAGGGTCTGCAGCCGGCCTTGGGTGCAGAAGGCAGCCGGCCAGGACTGTCTTCCTCAGTTGACGGTATCTGGGGCCCCGGCTGCCCCATCCTGCCATCCAGGAGAGGGGCGCAGCTGGGGAAGGGGCGTGCAGCCCGTGTTCAGTCCCTGGGGCAGACAGGATGGGTCCTAAGCCCTCCCAAGCTCCCAGTCCCGGCCAACACCCCGCCTGGCTCTCAACCGCATACCTGTCCCCCATGCAAAGCCACCCCAGCCCCAAGCCACAGTGTCCGCTCCTGGAGGGAGGTGACCTCCTCTGACCCTTTTCCTGGCCTTTAACCTTCCCCTCTCACCTGGCACCCTGCACCAACCCTCCACCCCCTCTGCATCCAGCTGGCCTCCACCAACTGACTGGAACTGTCTCATCGGGGGCTCTCTCCCTTCCCAGTGTCCTTTAAACAAAGAAATAAAAATGACAAGCACGCACGTGTGGGATGACTGTGGTTTATTCAATCCATTTGGGGGGGAAGCAGCCAAAGCGTGGAGGAGGGGGGAGCACAGGCATCCTTAGGGAGGGGGTCCTGATACGCATAGCTACCAGGCTGGAGCTTGGGCCTCTTGGGCGGGAGTGTCTGATGTAGGGAGCTTGGTGACCTGGCGAACCCAGGAAACAGCTCCATACTTCTGAGATGGGAGAAGGGCCGGGACAGAACCAGTTCGGGTCACAGCAGGGCCAGGAAGCCAGAGGCTGGGGCAGGCTCTCAGGACCTGGAGTCCCAGGGAAGAGGTGGCGGGAGGAATCGGGAGAAGCTGACTGGAGGCAAGGACTGGCTGTGCTGTTCCGCTGCGGGTTCCCTGGCCTTAGGGGTTAGGGTGCATTTGGAAAGCAGCTCAGTGTGGGCTTCCAGGGTCAGCTGTTTCCCCACGCGGCCAACACATCCTGCCAATCCCATTGGGAACCTAGTCCCTCAGGAACCAGGGTGGGGCTCAAAGTGTGGTTCTCAGACAGCAGCAGCAGCAGCCCCTGGGAGCTTGTTAGAGACGCAAAGCCTCGTGAGGGGCTGCATTCCAAGATGACCCCAGGGGACCCATGTGTACACTAGAGTGCGAGAAGCCCTGGGTTGGGGGGTGGACTCGACTCAGACACACCCCTGTGGCTCAGGGCACAGAGCTCTTCTGGGGCAGAGGTTGGCATGACCCTTTCTCCCGCCCCTCCTCCCCTCCCACGGTAGCTGCGGAGGGGTAGAGGCAGGGGCGTCAATGAGGCACAGGCCAAAGTGAAGCTGGCAGCGGGTTTGGCTAGACCCCACCTGTCCCCACTGGGTTCCTTCTTTGGTTCTGACCAGGAAAAGAAAACAGGGCTCAGTCTCTTCATTTATCTATCTGTCTATCCATTTATTTATTTATTTATTTATTTATTTTTTGAGTTGGAGTCTCACTCGGTCACCCAGACTGGAGTGCAGTGGCCACTCCCGGCCCCCGCAGCCTCGACCTGCTGGGCTCCGGCGATCCTTCCGCCTCAGCCTTCAAGCAGCTGGAACTACAGGTGCGCGCTACCACGCCCGGCTGATTTTTTGATTTATTGTAGAGATGAGGTCTCGCCTGCCCAGGCGGGTCTCGAATCTGCAGGCTCAGGCAATCCACTTACCTCAGCCTCCCAAAGGCGCGGGATTACAGGCTGAACCACCGAGCCCGGCTGTCTCTTTATTTTTTTAATTACAAAAATTTTTTTGAGTCAGAATCTCACTCCGTCCCAGGCTGGAGTGCAGTGGCATGATCACGGCTCACAGCAGCCTCGACCTCCTGGGGCTCGAGTGATCCTTACGCCTCAGCTTCCTGAGTAGCTGGGACTATAGGCACGTGCCACCACATCCGGCCATGGCTTAGTCTCTTAAGAAGCCTCTTCTGGCTGGGTTAGAACCCAGAAAGGGACCACAGTATCTCAGGTGAGGATGCTGTGTGCCACACTCGCCACCTAGTCCTTGCTGCCCCTGCTATTCCCAGATGCCAAATCCATGCTGGCTAAACTCTCAGGACACAGACAGCCCAGAGCAAAACACTTCATAGGGCTAGGCCATGGACTTAAGAACCGGCATCGAGTGGAGTCCCAGCATAGCCACACTCCCTGTGAGATGCTTCCTGCGGGAAGCCTGGGTCTTGCCCCCACCACGTGCCTTTGGACAAGCACCAGACTCCATCTGCTGCCCTCATACCCGGCAGCCAACTCAGAGAGGCAGCCATGACCTGGCTGGGATGTCCCAGCGTCGGGGGGGTCTCGGTCCAGGCATCCACCAGCACCACCCCCACTCTGACTAACTGAATGTTGTTTTCCCTACAAAACACCACCCCACACACATATGCAGTTCAATTAAAATAAAATGCATTTTATATAAATATCTTCATCAAGGAATCATACAAGGAAGGCCCAGGGGCCCTCGGGAGCAGAGTAGGGTGTTTTTTTAAATACAGAGGCATAAATAACTGTACATGGGCGGTTAAATACAGAGTGGCGCAACAGCGCTACCTGGTGGTCACGCCAATTGGTGCAATCGGAAGAAGGTTCCATCTTTCTCTCAACATCCCCTTGCCAGGCCTGGCATTGCAGATTCAGTCTCCAAGGGAATAGGGAGGCCCCAACTTAAAAAACTCCAATCAATCCACGGGCTATTTGATTGCAGGTCAAGTAAAGCCCTCGGTGGGGAAGGCGGTGAGGGAATGAGATGTGAGCCTTGGGGACATCACTGTTCTCCATCTCACAGAATTTAATGATGGTGCCAACTCTTGGTTATCGGGCCCCGTGACCATGGATAACCAGGTTCTGTGCCGACAGCTGTCACTTCTGTGGCCATCAGAGCACTCTCTTCTCTAGGTTGCTGGGCTGCCCCGCGGCCCTGTCCTTTTTCATCCCATGAAGAAATACAGCACCAAAGATATCTTCGTGATAGCGCTTCTGGCTCTTCAGGGGGAAACAGAGACCCTGTGTCAGCTCTACTGGTCAAGTCCAGGCTGGAACAGCCCCTAGGGTCACCCAGCTTCCCTATCACACATGCATTGATGAGCCATCTGTCTTTCCAACTCTCATGCTTAGATTACGCTAGAATTTGGAAGCCGGGCACGGTGGCTCAAGCTTGTAATCCCAGCACCTTGGGAAGCCGAGGTGAGAGGACTGCCCGAGTCCAGGGGTTCGAGACCAGCCTAGGCAAATTGGCGAGATCTCGTCTCTACAATAAATCAAAAAATTAGCCAGGCATGGTGGCACATGCCTGTAGCTGCAGCTACTTGGAAGGCTGAGGTGAGGTGGAAGGATCACCTGAGCCCAGTAGGTCGAGGCTGCGGTGGCCATGATTGTGACACTGCACTCCGGCCTGGGCGACAGAGTGAGACTCCAACTCAAAAAAAAAAAAAAAAAAATCACTGCTGCTATCATCCTTAAAATACACCCACTTGGGCATGAGTGCCAAGTGTGAGGTTCCCACAAGGCTGATGGGGGACAGTCTTCCAGTCCCCAGTGTCCATAGACCCTTTGACTGCACAGGTATTTTCTGAAAGGGGGGTTTGGAGAGAGGCCAAGGAGACCCTCCCATCCCCATTCCACAGATGGGAAAACAGAACGCGTTCACTCGACTGGTCATAGCTAGCCAGCAGACCAGGATGTAGAGCTACGCCTTCTAACAGCCCCTCTGGCTCTGACCTTGGCCACCTCTAGGGTTCTTTGGGGGGTGCAGGACTGTTCTGGGCCTACGCCCCAGGCTCTAGCCCCCTGCCCTGGCTCCCAGGGCCTGTGTCCATGGCCGGCACCCTCAACCCCAAGCTACTATACCTTGAGGTGGAAGAAATAGTCCTCAACCTGCTCCTCGCTCAGGCTCAGCCTGGTGGCCACCAGCTGCTTCAGGGTGTGGGCCACGTCGCGGGCCATGCGCACGTCCCCACAGACGTAGAGGTGGCCCGGTTCCTCCAGGAGGACGCGGAACACCTCGCCAGCCAGCTTCTGCCGCAGGACATCCTGAACATAGACCTGAAGCCAGAGGAGACAGTGGGTCTGGCCGCCGCTGCTGGGAGCGAGGTGTGCAGGCAGGCCTGTGGGCCTTGCGGGGGTGGGAGGGGCATTTAGGGCTGCAGAGGGACCCATTTCGTCCAGGACCTTGCACTGGCCCAGGATCCTCGAATTCAGGTTCGGGATGAGGAAATACACGGATGCCCTGGGGGCTGGGCTGGGACCAGAAAGATGACCGTTGGACATGGTCCTGCCCTCGAAGTGCTGCCCATCCATAGGGCCCCCAGAATGTCTCTGAATTCCCCATGCTTCAAAGAGGCATCCATCAAGCCAGCTCCCCCCACCCAGAGCTCTGCCTACACCCCAGAAAAGGAAGCCTCTCTGTGCAGACTGTCTGCAAGGTCCATGCTGTAATTCAGGGCCAGGGAACAGGTCTCAGGCTCCCCAGCTAGACAGGAGGCCCAGAAGTCAATGGGGGACTCTCTGCCCTCATTCCACACAAGGTGCTCCGTGGACCTGGCACTGGGTACAGGGCACTGGGTCTGAGACGAGACCCGACAGGACAAGTTTGTGAGGGCTGAGAGTGCAGGTTCACGGGGCAAAGTGTCCCCAGGGCGGGGGGAGGAGAGGCCATCTGAAGGCCGTGGGAGGGCAGCAGCCGCTCGCCAGCCTCACTGGGCTGGAGGGTAGAGCCAGTTTGGACCACCTCTCCTGGGCAATCATGTGTCGCAGGGGACCTGCTGGGGACCTTCAGCAGGCTGGGCTCAGGATTAATCCACAGCGTGACCCTGATTTAAGGCAGGACCCTCTCCGGGCCTGTCTCTTCTGCTGGAAGGGAGGATGAAATGATCTCCACTAAAGCTGAGGCACCAAAGGCTTGAGAGGTGAGAGGCCTGTGGGTGCCAGAACTCAAACCACAGCTTGTGCTTTGTTTTTCTTTGGGGGGGGTCTCACTCTCACCCACACAGAGTACAGTGACATGATCATACCTCACTGCAAGCCTCCATCTCCTGGGGTCAAGTGGTCCTCACACCTTGGCCTCCCAAGCTGGGCTACAAGCAGGTGCAACCACACCCAGTAATTTTTTTTTTTTTTTGAGATGGGGTCTTGCTATGTTGTTCATAGCCTATGCGTTTAACACACCACCTACTGTGAGGCTGCACTTACCTTGGGCTGGCCAGGCTGGCGGGAGTAGGCTGTGTGCACCTCACTCAGCACCCCCTCGCGGGCCATCTCTCGCATCTCCTCCTGATAGAGGTGGTCCTCGTCTGGGCGGCGACACCCGAACACCAGGGTCATGCGGCCACCCCGGAGCCCTGCAAGAGCCCGCGGGCTGCAGTTACCACGTGGCCACCAGAGGGCGCACCAAGGCGCAAGGCCCAAATTGAATTTTTTTTTTTTTTTTTTTGAGTTGGAGTCGTACTCCGTCGCCCAGGTTGGAGAGCAGTGGCACACTCATGGCCACCCCAGCGTCAACCTGCTGGGCTCTGGCGATCCTTCTGCCTCAGCCTTCTAAGTAGCTGGAGCTACAGGCACGCGCTACCACACCCGGCTAATTTTTTTGATTTATTGTAGAGACGAGGTCTTGCCAAGTTGCCCAGGCTGGTCTCAAGCCCGCAGGCTCAGGCAATCCACTCGCCTCGGCGATTACAGGCTGAGCCACCGAGCCCAGTCCCAGCTTGAATTCTCATTCCATTTCCCAAGTAGCCTATCAAGCATTATCCCCCTCTTACAGATGGGAAGACCGAGGCCTAGGGCGTTCAGATCACTCATCCACAGTCACACAACTGAAAGTGCAGATACGGGATTCGCTCAGCCCAGCAGAGGCCCAAAGCGGGGACTTTCCCACTACTCCCGCCACCCAGAGAAGCCCTGGCTCCGATGCGGAGATGTGGAAGTCAGCAGTTCTAACTCACAAAGGTCCACAGCCCGCACAGGCTGAGGCCTTCCCTTGAGAGGGGGCCAGGAAACATCTGCGGGGGGAGGCATCAACTCTCCCCCTGGCTGCAGTCCTGCTCCCGGGCAGGCGCTGGCCAACGGGCACTCCCTACCCACCCCCACCCTCCGGGGACCCTGGAGCCATACCCTTGTGCTTGGAGTCATGGAGCCGCTGCTGCCAGAAACTGCGGAAGGGGGCGATACCCGTGCCAGGCCCGATGAGGATGCAAGGATGGGAAGGGTCCTCGGGGAGCTGGAAGCCGCTTGCGCTGCAGGGGGCAGGGAGAGAGAGGATGCAGCCCTCAGACACCCCAGGGCGGTCAACAGGCAGGATGGGCTGGGAGCCAGGCGTGTGTTTGAGGGGGTGGTAGCGTGGGGGTAGAGGACAAGCAGTCCTGCAGGCAGCTTCATTCCTTCTGTCTTGGTACACTGTCCCTTCCACCTGGGTCCTTTGGACAAAGGGCCGAGCTCACTGTACCCTGGACCACACCACTGCTGTCGCTGGTGCCCCTGACAGTGAGTCTGCCACACTGCAGCCAGAGGCAGACTGGAGAGGCCCAGCGTGATCCTATTCCTTATTTATTTATTTGTTTGTTTTTTGTTTGTAGAGACAAGGTCTTACTATGTTACCCAGCTGGTCTTGAACTTCTGTGCTTAAGGGATCCTTCTGCCTCAGCCTCCCAAAGTGCTGGGATTACAGGCATGAGTCAACACGCCTGGTCTCCAATGCCTTCTTTATGGGCTATGGGCCCCTGGGGGGCAGCCCTCCCCAGATCCCTCCCCTTCATGCCAGAACTCCTGGGGGTCTGCGTCTTCCAGGCAACAGAGCAGAGGGGGTGCTTACCTTCGCACAAAGCAGGGCACTGGGTCCTGGGGCTTCAGGCTGCTGAGCCATGTGCTGCAGACGCCGTGGTGCAGGGGACCCTGGCCATCTGCAATGACAGTACAGACCTCACCCACAGTGCCCCCCACCTGTGCATGACCTGTGCCAGCTGCTCTGCCCACACCAATGGCCTCCTTGTCCTGTCCCTGCTCAGGCAGTCTCAGGGCTTAATGAGCAGCTGTTTTCCCTCCTGGTTCTGAGATCCACCCTCTGTAAGTCCAGAGCTGGGGGAAGCTGAAAGGGACTGAGAGGCTACAAGTCACTCCTGCCAATGCAGAAATGAGCCCCAGAGAGGGAAAGTGACGTGCACAATGCCACTCAGGAAGTGGGGGGAATCAAGTTTCCTGACTCCTACTCCAGTGCTCCTTCCGAAGAGTTTCTCCAGGGACCCTCCCAGTCCACCACTTGGTTCTGCTGACGACAACACGTAGAGATCCTGCAGGGTGTCCATTGCCGCGTGTCCTACTGAGTGTGACCCTTGCTGGTGGGAACCCTGGGGGCTGGACAACCCCTGAGCATGCCAGCCTGCTCTGGCATCTCACTTTCTCCCCTGGGGCCCTCCTAGGCTTGCAGAAACCCAGCTGCCTCTGAGTCACACTCCTTTCACACTGGCCCAGCATCTGAAGGAGACTCCAACTGCAGAAGACCCTTGGATTCCCAATCCTGCTCTCCCGGGACAGGCCTACCTCTCCTCCCCTGGTCTGTGTGGGTCCTGTATGTTTTCTAGCAGGGCAAATGGAGTCTCTGCCTAGATCTTAGAAACTGTGGCTATGTTTTTCAGGGGACAGAGGACTCTGGGGAGTGGGAGCTCCCAGCTTTGCCAACCCGGGTGATGCTCAACTATGGAGGGCAGGACAGGGGGAGTTCACCCAGAGGAGGGGTGGAGACTGCCTGGCCGAGGTCTAGGGCAGCCTCACCCCTACCCACTGCCCTCAGTGGTCCTGCATGCTCCTTCATGGTCCCCCCATAATGGGAATCATCTGAGGATTTCTACACCTGTCTTTCCCCGACCCCCAGATGCCACATGAGGGGATGTCTGTTGTATTTCCATGCCCCACAGTGCTGAGTATGGAGAGGTGTGAAACAAATCCACATTCAGGCTGCGCTGTCAGGAAGACGAAGCAGCACTGGGCTCCCACCAAGGGCTAGCTGCTCTCCACACTTAATCTCATTACAACAGTGGTAGGACAGCGAAGCGGTGGAGAACTTGAACTCAGCAGTTAGACTCTCTGGGCCCGAATCTCCGCTCTCCACTTACTAACAGTGATTCAACTAATGGCGAAATCTCTCTGTGCCTTGGGATTCCTCACCTGGAAAAAGCACACAGTCCCCAACCCGCATGGTAACTGATAACGCAGCACTGAGGGGTTCACTTAGTCGGGCGACTCATGGTCCTCGCTCCTGCCCGTTTCCTGTTATGGTTAGCAACTCCGGGAGGTAGACCTTACCACCCCCCTTTGACTGATGAGAAGACCAAAGCCCAGAGATGCTGAACGGCTGCCAGCAAGTGGCAGAACTGGGCTCTCTGGAGCCTCCGCCCCAGGCTCACCTTGGGTGCGGTAGGTGACCACGGCCACGGTGAGGTGGACCTCCGTGGGGGTGCGGTCCCGGGAAGAGCTGATGGAGTAGTACCGGGGCTTCAGGATGGGGAGCTGGGAGAGCAGGAAACCCGCAGACACCCGCAAAGACGGGAACTCCTCCAAAACCTCCAGGAACGTGGGGCTGTTGGCGAGCTTCCATGCACTGTACTCTGAGGGCTGCAAGCCAAGGGCGGTGTGAGGGCCCCAAGTGTCTGCCCCCTCTCAGGGGAAGAGGCTGTCACAACCCAGTATTCACTCATTCTTTCATTCAACAAACATGTGGATGGACCAGGTGCTGTCTAGGGTGCTGAGACAACCAAGCTCCAGAGGAAAGAATTCCTGTGCTGGAGGAACTCAGTCCCGAGAACATCTAATTTGTGTGCTAGACCTCCACTGTCTGCAGCTCAGCGGCAGGGCTCAAATATTTTTTCTCGAGTTGGGATCTCATGTCGTCTAAGCTGGAGTGCAGTGGCACACTTATGGCTTACTACAACCTCAATCTCCTGGGCTCAGGCAATCCTCCTGTCTCAGCCTCCCAGGTAGCTAGGATCACCACACCCAGTAATTAAAAAAATTTTTTTTATAGAGATGAGTTTTTGTTATATTGCCTAGGCTGGTCTCAAACCCCTGGACACAAGCGATCCTCTTGCCCTGGCCTCCCAAAGTGCTGGGATTATAGACGTGAGCCATCACACCTGGCTGGCAGGGGTCAAATCTTTATTACGATCTAATTGGGGTTGAGGCTTTGGAACTGATTTGAAACTGGGTTCAAATCTTGACCGGATGCCTTTATTAGTTGTGGAATCTTGTTACAGTTACTTAACCTTTGTGAGGCAAGGATAATGTCGCCTACCTGGTGGGGCAGCTATAAGGATTCAATGGGAACCTGTGTGCCAAGTTGGCACAGTGCAGCCATAGAATGACGGAGGGGGCGGTGGGTGGGATTGGGATCATCAGTGACAATGATGATGATAATGACATCCAGTGCCTTGTGCAAAGACTTGGGCCCACAAAGTTGCAGGTGAGTTCATGCATTCTTTCATTAATCCAGCTGCCCATCTGTCACTATGTCAGCTTCTCCATTCATCCACACCATCCATCCTCCAACTGACATCTTAAGTGCAAGTCTGTTCCGGGTTTGGGGAATACTAGGACAGACAAGACGTGATAGCTCCCCTCCCTTCTAGCTCATTTCCAAGGCATGCATTTTAGTTGCATCCTGCAGACAGGAAAATTCAGCTCACTCAACTGTGTCTCAGGCAGGGGCCAGCAGATGATGCCTGGCTTTGGCAAGTCTCCTTGGGGAACCTGGCGTAGGTCCTCTTGGAGGTTAGAGACCAGCTCCAGGCCCTGGCCGCCCCCACACTGGGATCTCCCCTCCCCCACCAGCCCCAGCCTTCACCTGGCACAGGGTTTCCAGCCTCTGCCTCTCAGTCTCTTCTGTGGCCAGCTTGGCCAGCTTCTGAAGCAACAGCGGGGTTGGGGGGGTGGTGATGTCCAGAAAGTAGGTGAGGGCCTGGCTGAGGGAGCAGGCGGGTAGCCTCTTGTCATGGACCCAGTAGCTGCCTGGATGTGGAGGGAAAGTGTCAGAATGGAGAAGAAGCCCCGTTTGGGCTTCTCAGAGGGTGATGAGGCCTCTGGGGAAGACACTCTCTAGTCTCTAGCTACAGAGGAAAGGAGACACTGACATGCTGGCTCCAGGAAGAGCAAAAGGCAGGAAGGAGGTATTACCCAGAGACAGGGCTGCCAGGGCTGATGAACAGCACTCCAGTGGGCATCCTAGTTGACGTGATCCTGACAAATTAACTGACAGTCCTAAACTTCAGAAAGACACCCACTGCAAACTACAGACTCACTATGACTAAATCCACCAAAGACGAATAATATACACTTCGGAGACCAGTTGCTCACTTCGAGAAAAGTACATGACTGCATTCCCCTGGGTGCTAGGCCAAGAGGTACTGGTTGAGCAGATCACCCAAAGGGAAGTGGAAGTCCCAGCGAGTCCCAGGAGGCAGGGCTGCAGGGCAGTTGCAGCATGGAGCCTGGCGCCAGCAGATGCAGATTCAAACTCTGGCTCCCGACTCACTAGCTAGGTGGCTGAACCTCTGGGCCTTGGGTTCCCTTCTTGTGAAATGGATCTGACATCACAACCTTTCCTGCGGGGTTTATATGAGTGTTGAATGAAATACTGCATGTAAAATTGTTGGTACAGTGCCTGGTGCTCAGGGGCTCCCTGAATGTTAGGTAGAAATGTGATTATGTTGTTCCATCTGGACCAGGGGCCTGATCAGGGGCTGTCTTCCTACGGCCATAAGGACATCTCCGTCCCCGCATTCCTGTATTTCAGGACAATGTGGAACACTGCCAGACTTTGCTTCTCTGACTTCCATTTTCTGGTTTTGGATATATCCCCACTGTGTTTAGGGGGATACATTCTTTGGGGGGGTCATTATCACTGAGGACACCAAGGCCAGTGAGCTATTTCCATGGACTGGGGCTGCTTCCAAGGCTGCTTTAACCTAAGCTCCGGTAGCCCACCCACTCGACAGGAAGGACTGGGGTGACTGTGGGGGGCAGGGGGGGCCCAGCCCCTCAGTGGGTGGGGCAGCAGAGCATGTTGGGCCACCTCAGCTCCCAGGCAGAGGGCTCACCGCTCTCATCCAGGGCCTCCAGGTGCACGGTCTGGTGGGGCGCAGGGCCATCCACCACTCGTTCCAAGATGCCGTGGACCAGGGTCAGCTGGTTGCCTGGGAAAACACCAAGGTGCTCCCCGGGCAGGTAGTTCAGGCCTCGGCTGTCCTCACAGGAGAGTTCCACCAGGAGGGTAGCACGGCTGGGAAGGGAAGAAGAAGCCTGGTGACGCCACAAGATTTCCTGCAGAGCTCCCTGATGGGCGGGCCAGTTTCCCCAGGAAATGTGCCCTCCTTCTATCTTCCTGCCAGATTCATGAACCTGGGCTTGGGATAAGGCATCCTCTCAGGCAGGGGTGCTCAGAGGGCCCCTGTAGCTTCCCTCTGGGGAGAAGGCAGGCCCAACCCTCCCAAGCAGCTCCCAAATTCCCGGGAGCATGGCCACAGCTTCTGCCTAGAAAAAGCCTCCCACTCGGAGATACACAGGCATCAGAAGACATCATTCCTAGTTCCAGCACAAATCCTGTTCTTACGAGAACAAAGACCAATTTTCTTAATGGAGGACAGCACAGATACACAAAACCTACAGCAATCCACAACGCTGGTTTACCTGGTTGGGAAATGGCCTTCCCTGCCAAAAGTTATCCTGAAAGTTCTTAAGAAAGAGTCAAACAGTTTGAGTCTCTCTTGCCCTCTCGAAAGAGCTCAGGGAGGAAAGGGAGGGAGTGAGGCAAGCACCTGGTTCCCAAACTGGAAAAGTGGCCTGTGGTTAACTGAGACGAGACATAAAGATGCAGGGGGCTGCAGGTTCCCAGACGAGCGGGTCCTACTGATGGCACAGCTGCTAACATCAGCAGATGCTCTACTCCTATTCCTCCCAAGACTGACTTTTCTGGTCTTTCATTCATTGAAATAAATCTACAGTGCAGGCCAGGAGCAGTGGCTCACACCTGTAATCCCAGCACTTTGAGAGGCCAAGGTAGAAGGATTGCTTGAGCCCAGGAGTTTGAGAGTAGCTTGGGCAACATAGCAAGATCTCATCTCTATGAAAAAATTTTAAAAATTAGCCAGGACGCTCAAGAGGCTGAGGAAGAAGGATTGCCTGAGCCAGGGAGGTCGAGGCTGCAGTGAGCTGTGATCATGTCACTGCACTCCAGCCTGGGTGACAGTGAGACTCCAAATCAAAAAAAAAAATCTACAGTGCATCCCTCTAGAAGCTCAGCACCCTCCCTTACCTGGATTTCGGACTCTGCAGGTTGCACAGAGATTTGAGCCTCATGGTGAACACATTCTTGGCATGCATGCTGCTGAGGGCTGTGGACAGAGGGACAGTGTGAAATAGCCAAGTGGCTCCTGAGCACCCCACATATATGAGTCAACTACACCTGGACACTATCCTTGGGGAATCCCACTGGGATGGCTGCTGGGATTTTCTTTCCCTTCCTTTTCCCCCACTATTTCTGAATCACAAATGGAGACCCTTGGCGGGACAGAAGATGGGTGGGTGTGTTGCTCCTAGGTGTTGGGAAATTCAATTTAGGTGCCAAGATATGGACAGTCTCAGAACATCTCCATGGCTTGGGATCCTTAGGAAAGCACAGCTGACATAAGTATATCTTAAGACATGTGGGAACCGGATGAACTACTGTAGGCATGGCACAGGGTGCAGTGCCTGGAGGCACAGGTGAGCTGCAGCCTGGACTCACTGCCACGATGCCTTCTTCATGATACTCAGCTGTCTTCACTGCTGGAGGTTGAGACTTGAACACCAGCATGGTCACGTACTAGCAGTTTGCTTCATCTCCCTGGACTTCAATCTCTCCATCTGTACCTTTCTCCCAGGACTGGTGTCTGGACCCACTTAGCCCAGTGGAGAAGGAGCCCAGCCCAGTGCCTGGCATACAGCCGACCCTCAACGGATGCTGGCTCCCTTGTCTCTCCACCACCCTCCTTAGGCTTCCTCCTGGAATGGCCTTCCTCAGAGCCTCAGGTCTTGCACCCTAACAGGCTCTTGGATGCAACAAGGAAGAGGTCTGGTGGCCCCAGGCCAGCTGTCTCTGTTCAGAGGGACCAGGTAGTCTCCTTGACCACAGGCTCAGGGCTCAGAGACCCCAACCCAGGCAGGAAGGGCAAACAAGCCCTGTGTGTGCAGAGAAGCAGGTACCTTTGTTGAGGTCCAGAGGCTGTGAGTCCTGCACGAGCCTGTAGTGGTGTGGGTTCCACGTCACATTGGAGGTGTAGCGCTTGGGAATCTGAATGTGCTGCTTTCCTGGGACGTCAAACACCTCACAGGCTGCCTGGAGGAAGACGGAGCAGATGGGGGTTCATGGTTGGCATCACCACCATCACCACCACCGGGGCAACTATTTTAAGGCCCTGACCATGGGCCAAACCCTGAGCTGGGAGCTTCTTGTCACTTCTAAGCACAGTGTGGCAGGTTGTTGTGAGGACTCAGATGCCTGGCTTGGCATGAGTAGCTGTTGCTATTATGATGTCAGTATTGATATGATCTTATTTTATTCTCAGGCCCACCTGGAGGGAGGCTTGATTGCTCCCATTTTCCTGGTGTGGAATCATGTGGAGGAGGCCTGGGCTTTGGAACCCAACCTGCTTGACTTGAGCCGGTCCTCCTACCCACCGTTGCTGAGGGCAAATCGGCAAACATGATGGGTTCTCTAAATCCATGGGGTCGATCACAGGCAATAAGGACCTATACAGACACTGAGACAGATCCAAGAACTCTACTGTGTGGTCCCTGTCCCTAAGCTCTCTGGCTAGGAGACTGCCACAAGATAAGGTGGTCAGGAGGCAACCTAGACAGTCAGTGGGGGAAAGATCTTAAGCCAGAAGCCGCCTGAGGGCGGGGGTGTGTGAGCCACCATTTCCCCTCCAGAAGGTGCACTGTTAGGGGTAGCACTCTTCTGCGGGGCTGAGGGACAGCAGCAGAGACTTGCACCCTCAGGCCCATCGTCCTGGCCCACACCTGGAAACACACCTACAGGACTGGGTAAAGGTCATGCCCCCGGGACACCCAGTACGGATGTCCTGAGTATGAGTGCACCACATCGTGTCTGTGCTGTGAGGCGGTTCTGGTTGGGAACTGACCTTGAAGGTTAGCACAGCCCAGGTGCGGAAGGAGTCCTCCTGTCCACTGAGCTCATCCCCTTCCCCTATTGGGGTGAGCTGAGAGGCTCCCAGGTGGGACAGCTTCTGGTCGATGTCATGAGCAAAGGCGCAGAACTGAGGGTACATGCTGGATCCGAGGCCAAACACGGCGTACCTGCCCGGGGAGGACACAGGCAGACTCATGTCCCATGCACCCAGAACCTGGCACCAACAAACTCTCCCACTCCTACTGGGACAAGCCCCCTTCTGGTCCTTCTTGGCCCCAGCCTCGTCCCCAGCTCCCGTGACCACCCCACGCTTGGCCTCCAGGCCCGTGAGAGGGATGTGGTTTCTGTGGCTTGACCCTCAACACACTTAGAGGACAAACCTCAGACCCAGGTTCTGAGAAGATCCCTTATGCACACCCAGTTCCAATCCCTGAACCCAGACTCTGGGCCCACCAGGCCGGGCTCAGACAGGAGGCCATGGGGAAAAGACTCACCTGAATTTATTAGTGAGCTCTTTTAGCATGAAGAGGGATTTCTTCAGTTTCTAGAAAGAGAAGGAACCACAGAGTTCTCAGGCCAGGATGGACAAAGGTGCAGCTACTGCTTTGTCTTTTCTTCTGGTGGCCCATTTAAAAACTGGCCACATCGCCGGGCTCGGTGGCTCAGCCTGTAATCCTGCGCCTTCGGGAGGCTGAGGTGAGTGGATTGCCTGAGCCCGCGGGTTCGAGACCGGCCTGGGCAGCGA